ATCTGCCTTCTCACCATCATTGTCTCTACTTGCCATTTCTCCTCCTCATCGCTTCAACATGCTTGCACAGAGCCAGTGAGCAAGTATGCAGCGGTACCTACTGTCCCTCTTCCTCACAAGCACTGCCTGGGCCAGAGCTCTAGTCAGATGGCCAAGCAGGCTGCAATGGTAATGAGCAGCAACTCTGGAGCACTCTTATCAATGTTTTCCAGCAGGCTCCCAACCATGCCAGCTTCTGATGAGCTTTGTTCTGGATATGTCCCTAATCAATATTACTAGGCCTGACCAGAGTAATAAAATTTACAAAAAAAAATTAAGCCACAGGAAGAAACACTGTTCTCTCTGGCTGTTGATGCCATTTAGGGAAAATATAGAAATCTTGGCCAAATCTGAAAAACATGGAGCATGCACTTGTATATGAAATGCATCATTTATAATTTACTTAGCATATAATATTATACTATTTTTGTTTCTATTGCAATTTATATTCACAATTATCATGAATACTGCCCTGGTGTAGCCATAAAGATGAAGGGATTTTTATAGATTCTTTTAACAGATAAATTAAATAATCAATATTTTGCAATTATTATGTCCACTGAACCTTTCTATGGATGCTTACCCTCTCTGCTATGTGGAACTTCTTCTTAAGTAAGAATGTACAACTTCAATAGGAGGCTCTGTACAAGCAAAATTTCAAAAACACCAATACAGAAAGGGCTGCAAACTACTTTAGGATATCGGTGTCAGTCTGTGGAGAGGAAAGGTGAAAAGGTCAACCACAGGAAAGGGGCCAGTTCAAAAAAAAAAAAAAAAAAGCAGATGGAAGAACTTCTAGCTGATATCTCCAGCCTGTATCAATGGCCATCAGAAGAAGGCAAAGCGCAAATCACACAGAACAAAAGCCCTGTGTGCTCATTGTGTTACATCTATAGCAGACAGGACTTATCCTTCTCTAAATACTGTAGATTCCTGCAGAAGACAAGCTTCATACTCAACATCTTAAGCATGTTAAACATTTGTCTTAAGAAGCATTCTGCTTATTCCAAAAGAGAAAATGTTTCACAGATAATTTTCAGTGTTTCTCTGGTTTCTATGCAAACAATGAAGGGGGAGGCTCCAGAGAGTCCTCAACAGACCCCTGGAGATTTTTTCTGGGGTGAAGGGTCCAGGCTTTCATACTGCTAAGTTTAACAGACTCTCCACCAAACTCATATACACTGAGAATGCACCCTAAAACATCTTCCAAAATCCTTTACAACATGTAGGGATTTTACAAGGTCAACAAAAAATAATTCTTCCAGGACAAATTTTTCAATTCTATTCTTCATACCAAAGGCTAGAAAAATAATTTTGATTCAAGTGGTTGGTATTCTTCAAAAATTAAAGTGTCCAAATATGCTACCTCAGTCAAAATTATCATGACTATTAAAGTTAACAGAAAGGGTTTGAAGATGAGAAAGTAACATTCAGTTCCTCAGTTGCCGTTAAAGAGCTAGATGAAAATTCCGTATGTTGGTCAATGTCTCTGCACATTCCATAAGAGCACCTTCTAATGTTTTAGGTGATCAAAAAGCAGAACGGACCAGCAGGGTCTGTTACTTTATACTGAATCAGACCATTCACTCATCTAGTCAGTGTTGTCAACACCAGCTGGAAGTGGCTCTCCAGAGTTTCAAGGAGATTTTCCTACTCTAGGTCAGGATAGGGAATTGACCTTCTGCATGCGAAGCACATGTTCTACCACTTAGCTGGGATCATAAGACCATGCTTTTTAAATATGTACTCATAACTTTCTTCTATATAACAGCTAGAGGATGCTCAGTACAAAGAGGCATAAATTCCCCCTCGGAGATTCCATCTTCTGTTTTAAGTTGGGACACAAGAGAAATTTGTTTCAGATCATTTATAAAATCAGACTTTCAGGACTGAATAGACTCAGACACAAAACGTAGTCAAAACCTGTACATTTCAAGCTTATGGTATGATCTGCAGAACAATATTGTTTGACAGCATGCACAGATTTTAAAAACATGCATGAAAAATGTGTACTTTGGAAATATGCACACAAATACACTTTAATCAATGGAAAAAGAATGCAACTGAAGTGTAAATTTGGGGAAATGTACACAAAAATACACACATAATTTCATGTAAAAAGATAAAAGTAAGCTTGCAAGCTGATACACACTTTAGTCAGAACAAGCTTTGAGGTGGAACTCAGAGAACTCAAGTTTTGCGATTCATGCACCCTGAATTTCAAGATGTTAGTATGCATTTAAGTCTTTACACTTAATACAACTCACATACTTTAAAATTATACTATCAGTGTGCATGGTTCTAAAGTACAAGAAAACAGGCCTTCATGCCATTGCAATGATTCACAGCATTGCTGTTTAAAAAAGCCAAGCCCTTTAAGTTAAATCAATCTGCTTGTATTAAGCTCCCACCAATGTCCAGAGGGCATAGATTTGTATCAACATTCTTACAATTACATTTCCTATTGTTGCAGAATTCTCTTTTAATTCTAAAAACTGAGCAAAAGTTATGTGATGTGGTCAAAAAGGTGCTTCAAAGTATAGAGTGCCCCAAACTTTGAGACAAAATGCAGAATATTTATTTTAAATTTTTAAATGAAATTTTGCCTGGAAAATTTGATTAAAAAGGTGGAGAGGATATAAAATACATGTAAAGCAAAATATGCTATAAAGTATCTTTTTGCAACAGTTTTTATATGAAAGTTGTTTTTAAAAGGGTTTGACAAACAGATGGTTTGTCCCTTTGATAACAGCTAAGGTAAGGGAGCACAAATCTCCTGTATTAGAGATAATGTTCCTAATACACCAACAGAAGGAGCTCAAGGAGGACAACTTTAGACACATGTTCCTAAGAAGCAATCCTAGATACACAGAGGAACAAAGACCAAGAACTTCCAATACGCTCATGTCATAGACCTTTACCTTGCCTAAACATACACAGCATCATGCCCTGAGTTCATGATGTCCCCATATGGTGCTATCCATCACACTGCGATACACAGCAACATAGTACACAATACTGTGTTACTAGACAAAAAGTATGAGATCCATTATCGTATGGAACACCACAATAAAAACAAAATAGTATTACAAATGTGTATACAAGACTCAAGAGCCTAGACTTCCTTAGACAGCATTTACCTTACAATCAGAGAGTAATGATAGTATGTATTATTAACATTTCCATGGAACTTTACCTGCTAAAAAGTCATCAAGGCAGTGCAAAACCATTTTAAAAAGCTTTACATCAATAGAAACAAGCAGCTTAAATATTTATATATCAAGTACTACACATTTTAAAGGCCAAACTGAAAAGATGCATGTTTACACTCTTTCAACAGGCAAAGAGAATGAAAGTCAACCATAATTTTTGTTAAGCACACTTCATAAGTTGGAGGGGACAAAGGTGAAAGACCTTCCGCCTCCCACCAACAAACAGGCCTCTGCAGGTACTGATGCCCTCAAAAAAGGCAGAAGGGGACGGCAGATAATGAGGTGGCTGGATGGAGTCACTGAAGCAGTTGGTGTGAGCTTAAGTGGACTGGGGGATGGTGGAGGACAGGAAGGCCTGGAGGAATGTTGTCCATGGGGTCGCGATGGGTCGCCCACGACTTCTCGACTAACAACAACAGCAACAGATATAAATGCTGAGGCAGGTTAGATAGGCAGTTCCTTGAACTGCAGGCCCCAAGAACTGCTAGGAATGGGCATTTCCTTCCCTCCTCGTGATAACTGCCTGGGAATCAGTCTTATCAAATCCAGTGGGTTCATTCATAGAAATGGGCTATCAGATAAGTGTGGTGAGAGACACCCCACTTCCCCAATCCCAATACTAAATTGTTAAGGGAGCTATCCTATGCATGGTTAAACAGGAAAAAGTCTTATATCCACTGGCTGCGACATGCTGAGAATTCCAGGACTTCCTTGTCTAAACTGACACGATCGCACCCTGGCAGAGCCTACCTAAAACCTTCAGGTGAACAATTCACCGAGGCAAAGTAAACACACAATCCTCTGATGTCAGCATTTAGGGATACCACACACCATGCACGGATTTTCGAAAATATGAGTCCGACGTTCCCCGCACCCTCCCCCCCACGGCTTAGAGAGACGTCCATGGAATGAAAAGGCCCCCCCCCCCCCCCCCGGTGCAGGCCTACGCCACACCACGGCGCGAGAGCAAGAAGAGGGGGAGGCAGGGGGCCAGATCCACTCGAACAGAAAAGCGAACCTCGGCGAGCTGAGAGGGTCGGGCGGGCAGCCACTCCCTACCGCCTCCCACCATATTGCCTACCTTTCGCTTGATAAAAACGGCACCGCGCTCGGAAAGAAACTGCTCTGCCCGGAGGGGGCGGATTTAATTCATTCTGCCCAGCTGAGGCCGGCATGAAAAGGCTCCGCGCGCACGCCGCGTTCTGACGCTGCCGGAGAAGACGCTCAATGAGGGGCTGGGCGCGCAAGGAAAATCTCCGGAGGAGATGCGGGGGGGGGGGGGAGCTCGCGCAGTGACCCCTCGCAAGAGGGTGGGGAACGCAGGCGCGACGCCCAGATGAATCCCCGAGATACGCAGGGTCTCCCGGCGCTTGCATGCGCGCGCGCGCGCACGAGAAAGACAGACGCAGAAAGACCTCGGCAACATGGAGAGGGCGGGCGCGCGCATTGAAAATAAATAAATAAAAGCCACACGCGAGCAGCCGGCGCCCCCCACCTGGTTTGCACGTCGGGAAAAATGCAGCCGAGAAAGGAGCTCAGAGCTGCACCGTGCTTCTCGCACACCCAGATTCCTAGCAACTGCTGTGAATTCAGCCTCCCTTTGCCGGAATACCCAGTGCCCACCGAGGCAGGCCTAGATTACCAGGGAGAAGGGGGAGGCGACTGGCAAGCATCAGCGGCTGCACCAGCAGGTTGTCCTGCGCGCGAGGCTGCCCATCTCTTGCGATGTCCCCGACGTCATTCACTCACCTCGGCCAAATCTATGTCCTCTGGGACCGCAAGGGAACGTGCAGCAAAAAGGGCGGTGGGTGATGGTCGTGGGTGGAGAGGGGCGGCGCTGGTTAGGGGTCCACCTAGGCTCACCTTCTGCTTCTCTGTGCTGTCGCTGCCGCCGACGCTGCTGCTGCTGCCGGGCGCCTGATCTCATCATCGCCGTCCCTCCCCTTCTGTTCTCCCCTCTCCTCTCCGTGTTTCTGACGCACTCATTCTGCAATGTCTGGAGCCTTCAGCTGCACCCACTCCAGCCTCTTTTGCCTCTGTCCCTCCTCAGTGAACATCCCACCCGCAAGACGGTGCTGGTGTTGCTGCGGCTGCTACAACAAAAGACATCTGCGGACAAACCAGACCTTATAGCCAAACATCAACCCGAGTCATTCATTTGTAGTGCTCCAGAGCACAGCTGTGTGAACGATGTATCAATGCAAAATGAGGGGAACTGATGGCGTAATATCAGCCGTGTTAAAAAGCGGAGACATTTATTTTCAGGATGATGATAAAACGTGGATGTGTTGCTGCAGTGCTCTCTAGCAATGGCTGCAAATAGTGGCGAGAGCAGTAGGAGTGATGGGTGCCAGTGTCGTGCAGGCAGCAAAGGAACACAGTGATTGAAACAAGCAAAGAATTCGGCGATGACAGCATTGCATTCTCTGTTTGGTTACGGTGGGGGAAACCATGATATTAATGATAGTGCCTAGCCTTTGTATTTTAAGCTGTACAGGGAAGTGCATCAAAATTTGAGCGCTGATGAAACATTTGTCAGTAAGAGAGGGCTGGCTCTTAAGAGCATTTTCTCACCACAATGATACATTCCATTAAAAAAACAAGTTAATGACAAAAATAAAGAACAAATGTTTAAACATTCCTTTATGTTTAAAAAAATCCATAATTTAGATAGGATTATTCCAAGATGAGAAAGGCACATTTTTCTCTAAGAAAGGATGTAAATTCCTTGAAAGCACGATTTTAGCTGAATTTTGGAAGTGAGGTATTCCAGTAAAGATATATTGAGCTGATGCTGTTGCACAATCCTAGACATGCACACAGAGGTAAATACAACTTAAGTTGATTTCTGCTAAATCTGTAGTCAAGGGTTTTGACATATAGAACCCATAAGACTTAGACTGCCTTTCCATGTCTGACTGAATTACATTCATCAGAAAACCTATCAAAATAATCACCATCCAAGTCTACACTCCAACAACAGATGCTGAAGAGGAAGAAATGTAACCTTTTTATGCCAGTGTTCAAGAGAATATTGATAACACACCCAAACAAGGCATGCTGATAATCATAGGTGATTAGAATGGAAAAGCAGGAAGCAAAGCAGATTCTAGTGTTGTGGAACAAGTTGGTCTGGGGTAAGAAATGATGCAGGAGACTCATAACATTCTGTCAAGCCAACAATCTATTTATAGAAAATACATAGTTCAAGCAAACCATCAGATGACTATGGACATCACCAGATGGCCAATGAAGAAATCAAATTATGTAATTGGAAGCAGGAGATGGAAAATTTGTATTCTCACTGCCAAAACAAGACAAGGTCCTGAATGCAACTTTGCTTCAATCTTCTCGTCCTGAATGCAACTTTTCAGCAACTATCACATAAGACAAAATTAATATAATTAATATTATAATAGAACTGCACTGTAATAATGACCAGTTCAAAGAAACAGAAAACAATAAAGGAAAAACAAGAGACCTCTTCCAGAAGATCCAAGAAATCAAAGGAGATGCAAAAGAGTTCCAGCGCACAAATTTCTCATACAAGCAAAGTGATGCTCAAGGTGTTGCAAGAAAGAATAAAAAATGCCTGATGATCAAGCTAGATTCCAAAAAGGAAAAGGCACTTGTAATCATATTGTAAATATATGTTGGCTACTGGAGTGCACTGAGGAATTAAAAAAAAAAGATCAGCCTATGCTTTCTAGACTGCAGAAAAGCCTTTGGCATGCAGATCATGAAATGCTATGGATGATCTTGGAAAATATAGGAATGCCTCAGCACTTCATTATCCTGATGTGAAACCTGCACCATGTACAAGAAGCTACAGTTAGGACAGAATATGGAGAAACAGCATGGTTTCCTGTAAGCAGGATGTCAGGCAAGAGTGTGTGTTATCTCACTATCTGTTCAGTCTATATGCAGAACTTATCATAAGGAAAGATAGGTTAGTATAAGAGGAAGGAGTGAACATTGGCAGAAGGTGTGTCAAAATTTTAAGAAATACATGTGCTACTATATTACTGGCAGAAAGCAAAAATAATTGAAATGACTCTTGTTGAAAAAGAAAGAAGAAAGTGCAAAAGCAAGATTACAGCTGAATATCAAGAAAACAAAAATCATGACTACAGAGTAATTATACCACTGTACTATGCACAATGAAGAAACTGAAATTGTGAAAGATTTCACGTACCTCAGCTCAGTCATCAGTTCAAAAGGAGGCTGCAGCCAAGGAATTCAAAGTCGACTGAGATTTGGAAAGGCAGCAATGAATGAATTCAAAAAGATTGTGAAGTGTAAGAATGTTTCACTGGAGACCAAGGCCAAGATCATCCACAGTATTGTATACCCAATCACTGTGTACAGCTTTGAAACCTGGACAGTGAAGAAAGCTGACAGGAACAAAATTGATGTGTGAAAAATGGTGCTGGAGGAGAGCTTTGTAAATACCTCATACTTTGGGCACTTCATGAGAAGGCAAGACTCCCTGGAGAAGGCAATCATGTCAGTGAAAGGCAAAGGCAGAAGAAAAGGAAGAGCAAATGTGAGATGGATTGACTCCATAAAGGAAGCCACAGCCTTGAATTTAGAGGAACTGTGCAGGGTTGTCAAGGACAGGAGATCTTGAAGGGCTTTCATTCATTGGGTCAGCAAGAGTCAGAGATGCGTTGATAGCACAGAACAACAACAAACACCACCATGGGAACCTTTCTGGCTGAACAGTGTGGTATAAATGCTTCAGGTAAATGAAGAAAGAAACTGGCCATATCATGAAATGGATTTGTAGTCAGAATGCTCCGTGACCTGAGCATTCTAGTTTCTAGTGCAAGACCAAGCAAGCATGAAAGATTACAAAGTCAATTGCATGCTTTTCTAGCCAGAAGGTGGAGCTATCAGATAACCTTTTCTGTATAGCCCTTAATACAACTTGAACACATGCAGCACCAGAAATAATTTTGGTTGATTTGAATTGGTTTTGAGGCAGTTTCTGATTGAATATGCACACTTCCCAGGATTCTTTGAAAGCCTATCCAAATATCTGATCCTTATCTTATCACCAGTGTTGTGTGGTCACAGTTTCTACATGGTAAGACCCCATCTTATTGAGACAGCTAATTGGGACACAAGGTTAGCAAGTCAGAGTCTCTTCATCAGTTGCATAATTGCCTCTATGGCGGACAAAGAAGGTACGGAGGGTGACAGAGTGGAACAAAGGAACATGAACTGCACAATCCGATGTCCAGTAGCTTGAACTTGATTTTGATCTAGAAATTAAAAACCTTTGGATCTGGAAAGAATACTAAGTGTTAAACCCATAAAGGAGTGTCACACTCCTAAGGATCCACCTCCATCTCAAAGAAGCTCTTGGGGGGGGGGGCATATTTCAGAAGCAGGTGGAGCTGAGGGCAAAGGGCCAAAACCCCCCCACAAGCACCAGGATAGCATTGCTTTAAACACTTACTATCAGTCACAGAGTCTTAAGGAAAAACTGTTCATAAAAGCTGGGAAGCCCCAAGCAATTGGCAGCAAGGGAAAGGACGAAGTCCATCTGAGGAACTCTGGAGACTAGGATGGGAGAGTGAGCAGGTCAGATGTGGCCCACAGGTCTGAGGTTGGCCACCGCAGTGTAAAAGGCACAGGAGCAGTCCAGATGGGAGTTTTTTAGGTTAGCTGCAACCTAATGTTGATTCTATTAATTTATATTCCACCTTTTGTCCAAGGTGCAGTACATGATCTTTGAATCAGTGCATTTTTTAAAAATCAGACCTCAGAATGGAGCCTGAAGGTAGAGATTCTAAGTGGGAACATTTCAATAAACTGCTACATCAAGATGATTTAGATCAGGGATGGGAAACATGTTGTACTTCATAGTCTTTTGGGCTGCAATTCTTCCTCCCCATTGGGTATGCTAAGCCAGAGCTAATGGGAATTGTAGCCCAACAACAACTAACAGGAGGGGAACACATTCTCTGCCTCAGACAATTGAACTAAGCAGCACCTTCTCAAAACTGAAAAACTACATTATCATTCTTTAATTAAGAAAAGTAATTGACTTGTGAGAAATGTACAGAATGGGTTGTGTCTCATTGTAGCAAATGCTCCATGGAATTTATGATTCCATCTTTATGAATTACTTGTTGTGGCAGGGTTGATCAGCAGATGGTGCACCTCTCCTTTTCTGTGATCCCAGCTGGAGGACTACAACTTCTATCACTGACAAAAAGCCATTAAGAGGATACTTTCAGTTTGGGTGCTTACAGATGAGGCTTTTATTGTGCAATCACATTGCTTCATTCATGGAATTTTATAGCAGGAATACATGTCCAAATGTTTCCATTTGTAGTTCTGGCATGTTTGCATCTTCTTGCATCTTTTTTTTCTTGCCAAAAAACTGTTAAGGAATAAAAAAAATGAAATGGCTGCTTTTGATTGCCAGCAACAGTCTTCCATCTGGAAGCAACTCTAGATATTTCTGCATAATAGGTGATTTCTCACAATAAATTCAAATTTGTTACACACAGCCCATGTATTTTCTCTTCATGCTCTATAATCCTTCAGTTTAAAAAATCACAACATTAATAAGTGGAGACTCATAAAAAAAACTTCGTTTCAATATTATAGTTAAAGAGATAGGAGGGATTGTTTTTAAAGAAATATCTTTTGAGGACAATGCCGCCTCTCAGGCTTTCGAGTGACACTTTAAATTTAAAGGGGGAATGTATTTATTTCTATAATTTAGAAACATTTTTATAGAAATAAAATTATTTATTTCTATAATTTGCTTTATAATTAAAATATAGTGCTTCCATAGGGTGATGTGCAATT